TCGGAAGAGGTGAAGTGCACCAGAGTAAGGGTTCGACGCAAAGTGGGTTGACTTTTGCGTATGATGACCCAATCATTTCTGGCCACGTCATAATACTCCCTGCAATCCATTCCCTGCGCCCGTACACTCTCCCCCCTCCGCCGTCGAGACCTAATCGCTGGTTGTCTCCGAGCTACATCTGCCGGCGGCGGATTCCCAGAATATTCCGATAGTAAGCTTTAATTTTATTTCGTAGAATCAGAATATTCTATCGCGATCATTTCGCAGCTCGTTCCAGGTTTTGGACGATGAATGAATGGAGTTGCTAATACGGATTGGGATTTTTTTTTCGTTTCGTCGCTTAGCCCTGTTTAGTTGCTGGGAAATATCGAAACGAAAGAAAGCGGAAGCTGGAAACTTATCGAGTTCCCGATATTTTCTATGTTCAGTGTCTTTAAAAGTTTTGAACTTTGGCGTTCTCAGCATCCGAAATCTCAGTTCCGTAAACTCGATTCGTATATTCCTCCATTGTTTGACCCAACATGGCGGTGTGAATATCAGAATCTATGATATGGTTGATCGATTTGAGAACTGATAATAAAACCCTTTTATGGAATATTACCACAAAGAACTGTTTCTTTTCTCTTTTCTTTTAGTTCTGTTTATTTCCAGTCAAGTGCCGTGTAGAGGATTCTGCACTTCGTGAACTGGAGTTTAACTTGGTGGCAGCCTTGTTGTGAAGCCAATGGAGGTCGAGAATCAAGGCTTATGGTTGTAATTTTTCTTGCTACACCTTGGCTCGAAAATGTTAAGTGCAAAGAAAATGTTGTGCATTTGGATTTCTGTCTTTCCTGTTGCTGTTTCACTGCCAAGGTTCTTGGAATTGTTGAGAGAGGCTGATAGGGACCTGTTAATGATGTTCTCCCCTTGAAATGTGGGAAGGAAATCGTAATAGAGCCCTTTTCCTGTTGTTTCAGTGAATTTCAGGCTTGAAAATGATGTTGCTGCTGGGATGATGGGGAGTCCAGATGGGCTAGAAGTTAACACGGCCGAGAACCCGAATGAAATGGGGCAGAGTTCCTGTCAATCAATTCGTCAGCAAGATGAAGATCATAAAGTAGATCAAGATCATAAAGGGATATTCCTGGGGGAGTTTTGGCAGATGAGATGAGCCACATGTCTGGCAGGAGTTTGAATCAGAAGCAGCTGCACATTCATTTTGTAATGCATTTGCCTCATGGGTAGAATTTTGTTAGTAAAACTCTCACGGTCAAGGCTTGATGGGTCTCCCATAGATCGGCTACTCGTGTTTAACAAGGAGTGTTATAGGTTAACTTGACAAGCTTATTATTGGGCAAAGAGCAGAGACAAGGGTTGGTTGCAAGGCAATGGTTTTGGTTAGAAAAGAAAACCCTGGGAAATGGGTTATTACAAATTTTGTAAAGGAGCATACTCATCCTTTGATGTGGGATGGTTCAAACTTCAAAGGGGTTGCATTTACTATCAATGTCCGGTAAGTCCATGCTCTTTGATCAGCCTTGGACGTTGTAACGTATTATTTACTTTCTGGATTTAGACGTCGAGGTAACAAGTTTACATCTTTTGGTTGAACTACTGACTATCAGCTCACTTTAAGCCACATATACAAGATTTTATATATAGTTCCTGTGACCTTTGGAGGTTAGCTGTTTACCAAATTTTTACCAATAAGGTAAAGAAATCCGAATATTTTTCAGAAGTCACAAGCAAACGCGCAGATCAGTTGCTCTACTATAATCTCCATGCTCCATATTTCATGTTTTATCTGTTGCAAATGATTGTAGAAACAGAAAGAAGGGAATCCAGCACCTGAATTATTTACAGTTCCCGGATCTCAGAAGTTATTGATACAACATACCCATTGTTCATCTAGCTGATACATTGTTGCGGCTTCAACCTATTCATGCCCTCATCGATATATTGATGTTGCAAATGGTTGAATTCTAACCATTGCTTTCCTGGACGCAGAATGAGCACGGCAAAATCGAGGAGCTAATTAATCCAGAAGCTAGCAGTCCGAGGAAAAAGGGTCTGAGACATACAAAAGGCATCTACAGATGCTGTCTGAGCAAATTGTGCGGAGTGATAGAGAAGGAGATATATATGTTTATTTTTCAATGCTCTTGTATCTTGGCAGAGATCATTCTTGTACTGTTCTTTCGTCTTTTCATTTTCTTTTGGGGCATATCACAGGTTGGTGGTTTTCAAAGCTGGGTTTACATAAGTGTCTTGAAATGTTTTGTTTTGATGTTTCTGCCATTGATTTTGTTCAGGAAAATAGGGTTTGTTGGAGAAGCATCATACGTGGTGTTCGTTTGTATATATGTACGTACGTAAATATGTATGTATGTATGTATGGTCCTTTCATGTCAGATTCGAAGCTCTGTTAAAAGTCTCTGTTACATTGTTCTCTTCTCAAGGGCCGTTGTATAAAATACAAATCTTCCTGTATAAATATAAATTATATCACAAACTTTAATGGAACGCCCGTGGGAAATTTTTACCAAAAGCACCACAACTCTTACATATCTTTCTATTTTAGCCCACTTAATTTATAAAAGAGATTCTCAGGTCCCATTCCCCCTCTCTCTCTCTCTCTCTCTCTCTCTCTCTCTGCGTGCTTGGACAGAACAGAAGAAGATCCTGCTGAGAGTCGACTCCAGTAAGCTAAATTTCGCAGCTTTTTCTCTTACTTTCTTGTCTTCACTCTGGTTATGGTCGGATTTTAGCCAGATTCCTTGTCTGAATCAGATTTCTCGTGTCGAAATAATATTCCCATTAAAGTATGGGCGCTGCCCTTTCCTTGACGCAGATACAGACACAGATTGTTTCAGTTAGTTTCTGTTGGGATTGGAGATGTTTGCCTTGTTCTTTTCTGGGTTTCAATTTGGTAGATGGATCGAGAAAATACTGATATGGGTTCAGCTGATTACTGGCGCTTTCCGCCGTAATCTTGTTCCTTCTTTCTCCGATGATAAATGGAAAGGGATCGAAATAGAGTGCTAAACATTGCAAAAGGTTGAGACTTTTTGTCATCTGTGGGATCTTTCAGAATAGAAATTCATGTTTTCTGTGATGTTTTTCTGCTTAAGAAGTCCCATAGATCCTCCATTAACTGAAACTGTAGGTTACTACATGGTGTTCTTGTCTTTTTCATGAACAGCGAGTGAGAACGTTCAGCTGAATTTTTTGCATGAAATTGTTGACAGTGGAAGTTACAGCCACAGGGAGTACAGTCACATACCTAGAAGATTCGATTGCAGAACCCCGCGAGGGGATGGAATTCGACTCTGAGGATGCTGCAAAGATGTTCTACGACGATTATGCGAGGCGGGTAGGGTTTGTCATGCGTGTAATGTCTTGCCGTCGGTCTGAGAAAGATGGACGAATCCTTGCTCGGAGATTTGGGTGTAACAAAGAAGGTCATTGCCTTAGCATCCGCGGTAAGTTTGGGACTGTCAGAAAACCGAGGCCTAGCACGAGGGAAGGCTGCAAGGCAATGATTCACGTAAAGTATGATAGGTCTGGCAAATGGGTTATAACCAAATTCGTGAAAGAACATAACCATCCCCTCGTGGTTTCGCAGCGTGAGGCTCGTCAGATTATGGTGAGTTGCTGTTATTTACATTACAGTGTTGGATTCTTCCTCGAAGTGTTGAGGGCAGAATTTATTAACCATTCCGATGCTTATTCTCGTAGGACGAGAAGGATAAGAAAATCCAGGAACTGAACATAGAGCTACGCAACAAGAAACGGCTATGTGCAGCATATAAGGAACAGCTAGATGCATTTGCAAAGATTGTCGAAGAGCATTGCAATCATTTATCGAAGAAAGTTCAGAACGTGGTGAACAACCTCAAGGAATTCGAGTCTTTAGAGCACGAGCTTCTGCAACATAGACGGGCCATGTAGCTTAAAACGTGCAGGTTCGCCATTCTTTTAAGATTGGTAAAGCTCGATCTTGAATCCGTGCTGTCTAATCTTATTAGGTTTGGTCTGAAGCTTTAAACTCGGACAATCTCTGATTCTTTCTGACTCTTGTGTATTGTAATGAATGAAATCAAGAAAGCATAGGTTTAGAAGAGTTAGGGTTCTGAGAGGATAGATAGATACCCATCCCTGAATTTCAGGACATGAACGAACTATTTGTTGTATGAAAACAGACACAAGATCTCACTTCTGCTTATACACACACACACACTAACTACATGTACTACAGATACAGCGAACTGAGAAGAAAGCTAACAGTCTACTCAAGAACATGAAACAGACTGACGAGTTGAATCTTACAAAAGCCAAAGGAACTCAACAAAAACACACAAAAAACGCGCGAGGGCATCTACGTTCGACATCCATGATGGAAAATCTTTGTTCTTTTCCCTCTGCCTGCATCTCCATCTCGGCATACACGTGTCAAAAACCCGTTAGCTCGATGCTGTTTCAGCCGGGAGCGTGTGAATGGATCATACGCAAGCTTTTTTCAGGGGTATAAAAGTGGGTTGAGCCAGACCGTCCGAGCCATTAGAAGCTATTTACAGAAAAAATAATCAATCAATTGAACGGACATGGACGGGGACTGTCAGAGCTTTTGAACTTGTCTTCTTCCTTCAACTCGACGAGCTAAAGGTCGCCGCTTTTCATCATCTGCAGAAACTCCTTGTAATTAACCCTACCGTCACCATCCACGTCCACTTGCATGATCATCTTCTTGCAATCCTCTAGGGTTTTCCCTTGCTTCAGACCCAAGGATCCCATCACAGACTTCAACTCCTCCACGGTGATAAACCCATCTCCGTCCTGGTCAAACACGTCGAACGCATCCCTCATGTCGTCATCTTTGTCGCTCTGGTCTACGATCGATTTATACAGAGACTCGAACTCGTCCATGTCGACGCATCCATCTCCGTTCGCGTCGATCTTTTGGATCATCTGGGCGAGCTCTCTGTCCGGTAAGAAGAGGCCAAGATTCTCCAGAGAGTCATTGAGCTCTTCTTTGGTGATTCGGCCATCGCCGTTCTTGTCGAACATCTGGAAGACCCTTTTCAGCTCCACCGGGTCTACTCTCGCCGGCGGCGGCGATGGAGACGGCGAAGAAGACGGCGGAGGATTCTTGGGGTTGTCATCGTCGACGTGGTGAGGGTACCAAGAAGGAGGGAAGATTCCTCTCAGTTTCTTGGGGACCAAACAGAGGAGAAACGAGTTGAAGAGGTTGTACAAAAGGAAAATTCTCACCATCACTGCCGGCATAATGAAGGTTTAACCTTTTTCTTCTTCTTCTCGAGCTTCACTTGAAGCACACGCACAGAGAGAGAGAGGGAGAGAGAGAGATTCTGTGAAAGCAGAGAGCTTTTGAGGTTTCTTAAGTTGTACAAGTAACTTGGAAATGAAATGGCAACTCCTTTTATAGAAAGATTGGAGAAACAGAAGAATGGGAATTATTATATATATATATATATATATATGACTCAGTGTTCTCTCATATACTTTGTACTAAATTAACATATCTCTTTTTTTTTTTCTTTTATTTGCAAAAAACAAAAAAACAAAAGATAAAGAAATTGAAAGATTCAAAATAAATACAGAGTAGACGATGATAACATGGGCAGACAAAATCAACCATGTGGTTTTGAATTCAAACATTTACGAATTCACGGTCTTATAACAGTCCAAATACCAGTTGAATTACGACGTCATATAATCAAATATTGTCCTAAAACATGGGTTAGTCCATTTAGCAACAAGTTTTTTTTAATTTTGAATGAATCCAAACTAACAATACTCAACCTAAAATCGACTAAGTATCATCTTTTAAATTAAAATAAATTGAATTTGAATAAAACAACCGAATAATTTTAATAAAACTATATTTTTTAATAACTAATTTTCGTTTTAAAAAAAACAATTTCGCATAGAAAATCGGCATAAAAGTAATTATTCTTTTTTTTTTAATAAAACCAACCCTTAAATACTACAGGCATAATATAAAACCCAAAATTCCATCCTAATAATAAAATAAGAAACGAGATATATCATATTCTCTGTGGGGACATAATTCGTATATTTGTTTTTTACAAGAAAGAGAGTTGGGTGGTGGGGAATACGCGTGAAGAAGGTGAGGTGGGTGGGGTTTTTTTTTTTTTTTTCCTTCAGTTGTTTATCAACTTTTATTTATTTTCTCATTAAATTAATCAATAAATTTTATGCAAAAAACGCGTTATCATAATGGTGGCTGTTGGGTTATTGTCCCCTTTTATAAAATTAGGATTATGTAAGTTGATTCATATTTAGGCCCTTTTAATTATACGTTAAGCATGTGTTATGACCCCTCTGTCACACTTTGAGATATTTTTTTATTTCTCATTTTTCTAACCATGAAGAAACTCCTTTTGTATATATGTAATAATTACAATAGCCAATACGCAGCAGCAACAAAAAAAAAAAAAAGGATTATATTTGCGCTTTCTTTCTACCTTTTTCTTTTTTCTTTTTCCTTATTTCTTGACTTTTAATTTCGTAAAGATAACAAAATAAACTACTGCAATTTGACCAAATAAAAACCTAAACTTTCGAATGAATAACGAAAAAAATGATTTAAAAAATAAATATTTTTATTGCTGAAACCTACATCAGAAACTTTCATAAAAAAATAATAATACAAGAATTAGATGGTTATCCTATGTAATTCTACCACTCAAAATCGGGCCTTTTTTTCTATCAAAAATCGTGCAAATTTAGTTTATTTTTTCCCCTCTCTCTCTCTCTCTCTCTATATATATATATATATATATATTATTGGTGAATTTTGTGGTTATAATGAATGATTGGAATTGAAGTTAGAAAGATGGACCGTCGGCGATGATAACGGATCTTAGAATCAAAGAAGAAAGACAAGACATTGGGGACCAAAACGCGCCAAGAATTATGCCCGTATATAATATAATATATATTTTTAGTTACTTTGTAATAAGTATAACTCCTCACGGGTTTGAGTAACGGTCTCCAAGACCATTTGACTTGTTAACATGCCGACTTGGCTGTCCTCCAGCTCATGCAAGCTTCACGCCGTCCCAACCCACCACCACTCCATTAGTAATTATGGTTCCATATATCATATGATATATATATATATATGTATGTATGTATGTATTTCAAGTTATTGTCTTCTTTTTTTTTTTCATGTGACAGTTATTTAAGATTCTTTCTTTACTTTCACTTTTCAATTAATGATTATTGATAGCGGATAATGGATATTATGAATATAATTTCCTCTGTAATAATAAGAGTCACAAAGTAAGATAGCATTAGCCGTTAACAAAGAATAGTTAGGTTATGATTTTTTTTTTTTTGAAATTCGAATAAACAGTGCGCGAAATTCGATTTTTTTTATTTTATAAAATTCCATTAAATGGTTTAAACCTAATAATTGGAAAAGATTATACTATAAACCATGTTTAAAAAAATGTTTAGACTTGGAAGGAGTTTTGGCAAAGGGAGCTCTAGAATGATTGGGCCATTAATGTTAGTGGGCTCAAAATGTTGAACCCAAACATAAATGGGCCTAATTAGGGCCCAATTAGGCCCAAATAATTCCATATTGCAGAACCATTTGCTCGATTTCTGGTACAGATTTGAAGACACGTTTTCAGAAGTGGGTTGTTTTGTCTGCTCGCGGATTTCAAAATCGAGCTACTCTCCCAGAAGTTTTCTTGCACTTTCTCGGCAGAATTCCCGGAAAAGCCGTCGATCAGGTAAGACTCACTGAATTTTTTCGTGGAATTCTTCGAACGTGTCTATTACTTACTAACTTTTCTATGTTCTCGATGGAAGTGGTTGAAGCTTGTTCATCTCCTGTTCGGTTGGTTCCCTCTGGGAAATGCGGCTGAAGGATTTGAACTGAAATCTGATGTTTCCATGTTCTTTGCTTGGGTTTTGATGCTTTTAGTTTGTTTGGTTCGATTATGCATTTGGTGAAGTAGCTTGGGCAAAGGTTCAAAATTTCTCTTCCCTTCCTTCCTTCTGCTGCAGCTTAGCTACGACCATAGAGACAGCTAGTGTCAGATTAACATTTGTGTTTCTGTTTGTTATTTATACATTAACTTATGCTTTGCAAAGATTCTCACTTATCGTCCCTCCTCCGTTACCTCAACGTTGGTTTTCATTTCTGTCCTGTCTGTTTTCTTTGCAGACCGGTTTCAAGTCTCTGTTCATCATGCTTGCTTAGTTGAATGATATTCATTGACCAGTTTCCTGAACTGGGTACTTCCTTTTTAATGCTGTAGTGGTGGGAGATGGTCAGGAAAGAGGATGTGGATTTCTACTGTAGTTTTTCGCGTAAAGAGCTTCAAGGTTTATGCAAGAAATATAATTTACCAGCTAATAGGTCAACTGCGGATATGGCTGAATCATTGGCTTCTCATTTTGAGGTATGCCTATCCGATGTTACTAACTTCTAAAATCATCTGAGAAGAGCTGGAACTTGTTGCATCTTACCTTGTGGGGATGGATACGAATATTGACCATTGGATCATCAAGGGGCTTTCCCTGTTTTGCTTGTCAAACAATCAATATGTTCACATGTCCTTCTGCATCTAATTCTACTATGTCTAAAAATTTTAGACAAAGAGTCTGAGCTCAGGCGCCTTTGGAGTTGGCAGGATCCAAGGCGCTGCATCAGGAGCACCAGCAAAAGGAAAAATGGATGCGGAAAAAGGTTGGTTGATCATCTGTTGACAAAATATTTCTCCGCATTTAGGTTCATCTTGCCAGCTTGGGTTAAGCCATTAATGAAGAATGTTTGCATAATTCTGCAGACTATAATGGTAGTAAATTGGAAATGATTGGAGGGGATCATTCTCAAACTACAGTAGCTGGAGGAACAGGCTTTACCCCTGGGCATAAAGCACATTACCAGGTTGGATTCACCTTATTGTTGATGTCTTTCTGCACGAAATATGTTTTCAGGTTACAACTGCGTGGATCACATGCATTTTCAATGCTTATAGGGTGAGCATTTCATGCTTCTTTACTAGGGTCTACCTCCTTCCATCTCCTATTCTATAAAATAACAGTACAGCGCATGGATGAGTCCGATGTAGTTCCCGCTTTGTTTATTTCATTGATATACTCTTGAAAATGCTGAAACATGTGCTCTTCTCTCTTTGGAGCATGCTACAAGTTATGAGGTAGAATAGGGTATTTAGCAATTGTTGAAATACCATGTCATGGTTTTGTTCATTATGTCAGATCTTTTGCATCTTCAGCATCCTCCCCGTTTTCATTTAAAATTTCCACTCTTCTGCTTTGCAAGTTCTAAGGTCTCCTAAATCTCGTCATGGAAATGCAGGACGTACATGGCGCTCTGATTGAATCTGCATATATTCCCCAATTCACTAAGAATTTGAAAAAGGGTCCAAAGGCAAATTCCAGGAAGGATTTTCTTCAGAGAACAGAATGTCGTTTAGAAAATCAAACAGGAGAGGTAAACACTGGTGAATGTCCTCAAGAAACTTCGTTTCCAGGATGCTCTACGTTTTCCAGTTCGTCTTCGTTCGAGTTTCATGTCAGTTCGGAAAAGGGTATTAACCTTTCAGTTGATTTGAATTTTAACCCATCAGACTGGATCACTAGTATGAGAAATGAGGTCTGTATATGGAATAGCATGCGTTCCAAGAAATCCCGAAGTTCTGATCAGGACACCGATGACCTTACAGAGAGTGAGAAACAGAAAAATCAGTCGCCACATCCTGGCCTCGCCCAGGATTTGTGTTCAAGCCACACAGTGAAAGAAGCCTTTGCAAGCCCACTCATGAAAGACAATGGTCAAATACCATCTGATCATCAGTCTAGCGGCGAAGGCTCTTTAACGCCATTTGTGATAGAGCCATGCAGCAGAAAAAGGGATGCCTTGGACAAGTATAAGAAAGAAGAAAGGCATAATCTGTTCATACCTGAATCTTCAGCACTTGGCCAGATTGTCTCTTGTGCTGAATCGTGTAGTAAGAGCTACTGTGTGGTTTCTCTTGATTTGGACCGTGTTAACTCTCCTGGAAGAAACCTGGCAAGCGATTCTGGTACGATTTCCACAGAATGTCCAATCACTCTTGATACACAAGAAAATCTGACTGGTGACCTCCCCAATAAAAGTTCAGAGAGTCCATCCCCAGGAAGTCCTCAAAAAGTTGGAAACTCACGTAGTGGTACTCCTATATCTCCAGGAATAGATGGTTCTGAAACGTCATCATCAGAAGCAAAGCCCTACAGGCTGAACCCATCATGTTCACCTTGTAAGAACAGTAGATCCCCGGATTTATCTGAATCAAAGCTCATCAAAGATGCAGAGTCAAAAGGGTATTCAAAATTAATCTTCCAGTACAATGCAGGCAAGAACTGTTTGGCATCAAATGTGGTGGAGAAGGTGCGTTTCATTCTTCCTTGTCAATTTGCTGTCTGCAGAAAGGACCCTTATTTGTTGATTTAATACCAAAGGATACCACGGTCGCTTCATCTAAGCCATTTTTTTTTCCTTCGCAGGAAAAGAGCGAAACCATTAGTGGGCAGGAGCGCTCAGGGTTACTTGTTTGAATAGTGTAGCATTCCATATATGGAATTTTATTTTTTGAAGTGATAGAAGAATGTGTATTTACTTCCTTCAAGATTTTCTCCGAGTCACTCTTGGTAAAAATCTGAATGGAAGTAGAAAACCTGTTGGTGAGCTTTTGGAGGTATACTTTCGGGTTTCTTTATATCATGTGGATCCTATGGATGTTGAATGCATAAGGAACTCATATTGGTTTTGCTTAAAAAATGTTCTCATTCGCTTCTTTTGCGCCTTTTTTCTTCTATGTTGTATGTTCTGGCGTGGCATGTCGGTTTTCCTGATTGAAGGAAACTGAATTTGCTTGCTCCAAGGATTCATTTGCGGCCAAAGGAAACAAGTTATTTTTGTTCTTCAATTGTGGTTGAGTCATCAAGTTCACTCGGATCACTGCTGAAGCATTATATTGAGTACCAAAGGGTTTTGCCATGGTGAAGCCTGAAGTCAGTGTGCTGTAAGTATGGAGGTCTTTGGCATTTTTCTCCTGTTTCATTTGAGGTCCTGTAAAAGTTAAGAAATGCCAAATCTATGTTTTTAGTACATCTGCAGATCAAATATGGTCTAATCATCTTAATCTGACACTGCCTCTTTTTTCTAAACATGTCAGAAACGCAGAAAGCCATGGAGAGTTTATTCTTTGGCGAGGAGAGTTTCGTGCCTATCGGGAAGCAGCTGACAATAACTTTGTTGCATGTACCATAACATTGAATGGGAGCAATGTTCTTCCTGTATAAAAGAATGGCATACAACCCAAAATAAGGTACTTGAAACGTTTGAAGGTTATCTTGTTTATACTTGTAATGAAACTCAGTGTGGTCTGCATTGTGTTTGAGTCCATTAGAATGACCTTAAGCTTGATGTTGATAGTTCAATTGCACAACATATCTAATTAGTGATTTTGGAATATTATTTTACTTTACATATTTTATTATATATATACACATATATATATATATACAGATTATTTTGTCAGATAATGTGACAAACTGATGAGAGGAGAGAATCAAGAATTCTGATAGCATGTAGGCGGCACGTGCGCCGACCCTTGAGTCGGGTCTCAACTACATAGTTCGCTGCATGCTCTTCTTTTTATCATAATCAACACTAACCCCATATATCCTTGATATATATATATATATATATATATATATATATGTAAATTCTGTTTCAAGTTGGCTAAATCCTATTGGGCAATGGTTAATGGATTTCGCCTAATATATGGCTCTTGTCTGAATTTCTTTTTCCCCTTCTAAATAGCAAGGATGGGTATGTGAAAGTTTTTTTTATATTGGTGGTTGTCCAGATGGGATTCGAACCCGGGGCATAGGAGAGCACTTTGTGCTCCCACGCCACCGGACCACCACATCTGGGCGGGTATGTGAAAATTTTACCAGTCTTCCATGTTAAGCATTGTACAGAAACATAGTTTGTTCTTTTAGATCACACTATTACTTATGATGTAGCATAAACATGTCATGAGAAGAGAAGCCTTTGGTCATTGTCCGAGGAAGGAACTCAGGCCATGGGACATTGTGTATGGAATTCGGAGGTATTTTTTTTACAAGAGTTGACAAACTTGGTTAACTGCATGCATGTGCATGGAAAAAATCACAACACTATTATATATATATATATATATATATATATATATAAGTTTGGAGATGTTGGTTCGGTCTTCGTCTGCCTCGTGGATAGCAAAGGCCAACACCAACGGGGAAGGCAAAACATTAAATATACAATGGTTATATTTAAAAAAAAAAAAACAGTCTGGATTAAAGTATGGTATATTTCAGAGGGTCTTGATCAAACTCGAGGACCCGGAATTAGAAAAATGGATTAAAAAATTCACGAGGGCAGCGTAAATGCCTCATGATTCGTTAGTTTACAATACTGATGGAGGATTGTTGTCAACTTTGGGAGTGATAATAGGCACAAAATGGGCAAGAATTGGGTAATATTTTGGAAAAAAGCTGAGGAGAGAGGCGTGATGGAGGCTGGAGAAAGTGGGGGAAAAAAAAAGAAAACGAAAGACATTTACTCCTCATTTAATGTCTTCAACTACATTTGCCATTACTGAGAACCTGCAGTTTTGGCCTCATTGAATGCTCTCTCACTCCACCCAACATTGAGACAATCTCTCTCTCTCTCTCCGCTGTCTCTGCTTTCATCGCCTCATCTCTCTTTACTCTTTCCTGAGTTTTGGTTTCTACGGAAAACCCATTTCCACAAATCTTGAAAAGAATGCATTTTTTCGTGTGGGATAGAGTAACAGCGATGCTGGTTTATGGATCTTTAAGGATGTAATGCTCTTTCTGAAAGTCTAAGGGTAAGTGACATTGCACTTTCCGTTGCGGAAGAAGAGAGAAAGGGGTCTGCTTGGCATTTTCGTCTGAGATTTAACATCAATGAAACCTGAATTTCCTGTCCAATGGTGAATCAAAACCTTCTGGGCTTTTCTCGTCATGGTTCCTTTGTTTAGTCAGTGACAGTTCAGTAACTCGGTTCACGTTGCTTGACATTACAGATGATGCATGTCGATACTTAAAAGTTTCTCCATCAAGAAAGGGTTTTAGCTTTCTGCTGTTTTGTGCCTTTTGTGGTGCCTGGTAATCGAAGGGTATGAAGCAGAACCATCAACCCACCCAACATTTGTGTTGTTTTTTGAGGTTGCACCAAGAATAAAAAAGGACCAGCATTGATTTCAACCAAGTCCTTTGAAGTCTAGGATGGGATTTCTCTGTCTCACAGCTAGAATTTTTCTCATCTGGATTTCCAAGGTCAGCCAGTGGAAATGGAGTTTCCTTGCACAATTCATGCTTATCACAAATCTGTGTTGGCAAGCTTCAGGCCTTGGCTCAATGTCTTCCATTGCTATTTCCTATGGGGAGAGTGGCCCTGTTTTCTGTGGTCTGAAATCTGATGGGTCTCATCTCGCGGTTTGCTACGGAGCCAACTCTGCAATTCTCTATGGAACTCCAACTCATTTAGAGTTCCTTGGCTTAACAGGTGGTGATGGGTTTATGTGTGGGCTTTTGATGAGATCTATCCAGCCATATTGCTGGGGAAACAGTGGCTACATTCAAATGGGAGTTCCTCAGCCGATGACCAAAGGAGCAGAGTACTCTGAAATCAGTGCTGGTGATTACCATCTTTGTGGTTTGAGGAAGCAACTGATGGGTAGACAAAAGAAGGAAAACTCCATTGTTGATTGTTGGGGATACAACATGACCAGAAGCTTTGTCTTTAACAAGCAGATACAATCACTCTCTGCTGGTTCTGAGTTCAACTGTGGCTTGTCCTCTAAGGACAAATCTGTTTTCTGCTGGGGTGATGAAACCAGCAGTCAGGTCATCAGTTTAATCCCCAAGGGACAAAGGTTTCAGAAGATTGCCGCTGGTGGGTACCATATCTGTGGCATTCTTGAAGGGTCGAATTCTAGAGTGCTCTGTTGGGGAAGGAGCTTGGATTTCCAAGAGACCTCCACCGGAGAACGAGCTCTCAATTCAATTCCAAAGGAGCCATTGGTGACAGTGGTTGGAGGAAGGTTCCATGCTTGTGGAATCAAAAGCAACGATCATAGTGTGGTTTGTTGGGGTTATGCCGTGAACCCGAGTACCCCAGCCCCAACAGGGATCAAGTTCTATGAACTTTCAGCGGGTAATTACTTCACTTGCGGAGTTGTTGCTGGGAATTCCACATCGCCTATCTGTTGGGGGCTCGGGTTTCCAAACACACTCCCTTTAGCCGTCTCACCAGGACTATGCAGAGTCACTCCCTGCCCACCAGGTACCTATGAGTTTGTTAACCAAGAGAACTCACCTTGCAAGTTATCTGGTTCCCACATTTGCTTGCCCTGCAAGACCAGTTGCCCTCCTCAAATGTATCAGAAAAGCCAATGCTCACAGAGTTCTGACATGCTGTGTGGTTATAACTGTTCGAGTTGCTTCTCACCCGAGTGCTACTCAAACTGTTCTGCATCTAACGGTTGGAAGGCAGGAGGAGGAAGTTTTTGGTCGCTTCAGTTACCTGTTATAGTTGCAGAGATCGGCTTTGCTTTGTTTGTGATAGCCCTTGTCTCCATAACAGCAGTTTTATATGTACGGTTCAGATTGAGACACTGTAGGTGCTCAGGAAAGGATTCGAAATCTGTGAAAGATTCAGCTTTTATGAAGGAGTACGGGAGAATCTGTCCGGATCTGGATGAGCTTAAGATCAGGAGGGCTCGTGTCTTCACATACGACGAACTTGAGAAGGCTGCTGGTGGCTTCAAAGAAGAATCAATGGTGGGTAAAGGGAGCTTCTCCTGTGTGTACAAAGGGATACTGAGGGATGGAACCACTGTCGCAGTCAAAAAGGCCATAATGACGTCTGATAAACAGAAGAAATCAAAGGAATTCCACACGGAGCTTGATCTTCTTTCTAGACTAAACCATGCCCATCTTCTTAGCCTTCTTGGATACTGCGAGGAAGGAGGGGAAAGGCTTCTGGTTTACGAGTTCATGGCACATGGCTCACTGTACAATCATCTCCATGGAAAGAACAAGGCCTTGAAGGAGCAACTGGATTGGGTCAAGAGAGTGACCATAGCTGTCCAAGCAGCCAGAGGCATCGAGTACCTGCACGGTTACGCTTGCCCTCCCGTGATTCACCGGGATATCAAATCATCAAACATTCTCATAGACGAGGAACACAATGCTCGGGTGGCTGATTTCGGTCTCTCTCTACTAGGCCCTGCAGATAGCAGCGCTCCCCTAGCAGAACTTCCTGCAGGCACTCTCGGCTACCTCGACCCTGAGTACTACAGACTGCATTACCTCACAACCAAATCCGACGTCTACAGCTTCGGGGTCCTACTCCTCGAGATCCTAAGTGGTAGGAAAGCCATAGATATGCAGTATGAAGAAGGGAACATAGTCGAATGGGCAGTCCCTCTGATCAAAGCAGGAGATATAGCAGCGATCTTGGACCCGGTCCTGAAACCTCCACCAGACATGGAATCTCTGCGGAGAATAGCGAGTGCGGCATACAAATGCGTGAGGATGAGAGGGAGAGACAGGCCATCAATGGACAAAGTAACAACAGCGCTTGAACGTGGGCTGGCTCAGCTAATGGGGAGTCCGTGCAGCGAGCAGCCGATATTACCAACAGAGGTGGTGCTAGGGAGCAGCAGAATGCACAAGAAGTCATGGAGGTCGGCATCTGAGAACACCATGGAAGGGGGGGAGGAGCAGAGGACAGAGTTCAGAGGAGGGTCGTGGATAACGTTTCCAAGCGTGACGTCGTCACAGAGGAGGAAGTCATCGGCGTCGGAAGGGGATGTGGCTGAGGATGGTGGGAGGAACCAAGAAGGGCTGAGGAGCTTAGATGAGGAGATAGGACCTGCCTCCCCGCAGCAGAGCTTGTTCTTGCACCATAATTTCTGACAATAAAAGTTGCTCCCAGTTTAACATGACATCATCATATATGATTTTTATTTAATGACGAAAAGAGTGTTGGAAGTAAAAAGAAATGTAAAGGGAACGATGATTGAAGGTACCGTTGATTCTGTATCACTGTACCTCGCTGGGCACATTACTATAAAAAAACATTGATGATTGATAATCTTCCGTAAAAATGCTGAACCTGAAACTGAAACCAGTAAAATTTGAGGGTCAAAAAATAAAAACTAAAGCTGTCTAAATAAATAGATGCCCCCACGCAGGATCGAACTACGGACCTTCAGTTTACAAGACTGACGCTCTACCACTGAGCTATAAGGGCCTTGTTTTGGCTAAAATGTTTTACTAATACATAACAATAATTAATATCTCGTTTGACATTCAAAAAATTGACAACATGAAGACAGATATTAGCTCCAATGAACACGGATATACACACGTATACATAGGTACATACATCGTGAAATGTCTAAACTTCATGACGCAAAATTTTGAGGAGATTCCCATTTGGGGGAAGGCAGTTACTTGATTCTAGCTCCAAACCAAGGGGTTTCTAAATTGAGCAGCCATCGCGTCCAGCAGAAATTTGACAAGGTCTTCTCTCTGTACCTCTTTCACCCTCTTCAGTTCGAGGTGTCGAACCTGCATCATGGCACGAGTTATGACACTTTCATGATTACCTTCTTCGCATATATGATGAGAGCTAATGGATTGTCCAGGGTAATTCCCAAATCTCTCAACAGTCAACGAGACAGATGCAGGGTAATGGTGTTTGCTACCTTGACGAATCCTCCTTGGGACACACCTGAGTCTGTGATTATTACAAGACATTTGATTTCGTGTTCGCTTGCATATTCGTACTGCTCTGTAAGACTTGGATCCGGTGTAGGAACAAATTCAGCCTGCCACCATAGATGAACGTGTGATGGAGTATGCAGAAGATAAAGACCCCAACTTTATAACCAAAGATTTCCAAGCTTTAACCTTTATATTTTTCTCCCAAAGTTCAGCAGCCAGTTCCATGCGCTCAACCAGTAAACCCCCACCTCCTCTTGAACAAATAAGTACGCTAGTGTTGCCTTCATTTCTGAGACCGAAAAACAGATTATTATGGTGGCAGGTCAAGGGATTCAAAATAGACCATGAAAAGGGTACAACGCACCTAAAGGGTCTTAAATCCATGGGAAGGTGCTGAAATATTGTCTCCAGTGCCAGGCTGACGCCAACACCACCGGGTAGATTCATTTTCTGGAAACAGTAACGAAACCCCCCGTCATTTCCTAAAGCTTCGTTCAAAGTATTTACATATGAAAGTATACAAATTCGTCTAAGAAGCATATTTTTTTCTCTGTCTGTCTATACATATGAAAGTGAAAAAGAGAGGCCTTTTTTCTTTGGAAGCCAAACTTGGCACAACTAGAGGTAAGCAAGCCGCCAATGATGATCCTTGTTACAAATTCATATATCTCATTTATTTTAATACATCAAATCACTGATTTTTAAGAGGTGGTGCATGAACCTTCAACCACAGAAGGCTTCAAGGTGAAATTCTTTATATACCTAGAAGTTTTTCATCTCATCATTCACATCGTACAAAATGAAGCCATGTAAAACGAACTTACATATTCACGATCACACATCTGATGAAGCAAATAATCATAACGACCACCAACAGCAAGCAGAATTCCATCATTATACGACCCTGAGCTATTTTCTTTGGTTAAGAAGACCTGACCCAGAAGGACAACAGATTTTGTTGTTAGCAACTACAAATATGAAATCAGCATGGAAAGATCTTGGGTGATAGATGGATACTAAACATAATACAGATCATTGCGCATTAAATTTGACACTGATAAACGAGTTTTTTGTCCATTAAGTGCTTTTCTTATGGGGGAATCAACCTCTTAATTTTTACATCAATTTATTTTGCTATGGGATTTTGAATCTAGACCTTTGCTCTGTATCTCTAACTGAACAGACCCTTTCAAATGATCCCCTAGCAACCAAGAAATCACTTGTGATGATTCTCAGGTCCATTCTCTTGGAACGTCATGGGTATGAATATCATCATTGTAACCAAATATATAGTGGTCAACGATCTTTAGAGTGGCAACCAGAGACTAAACAGCATATCCAAGTCATACCTGGAAAAACAAATTTCGATGATAACTCTCAGCAGGTGGCATCAACGGATCTATGTAAACATGTTCTTCTATTCTCCAGACTCTCAAGTAGCTTAAGAGTTTTGACAACTCATCAAGTGCTTTCCGTGTAGGTTTATCTGCAGCAATGTGATAAGTGATAACAATGCTAAATTTGCATAGTGTGCTTTACAAGAACTAGAAGTTAGATCATACCAGCAAGCAGAGCCCCTCTTAAACGAGGAAGTGCTTGATCTGCAACTCCACAAAACCTTAAACCAACTGTCTGCAGCCTATTGACAACAGCCTCGGGTAAATTCAGGCCCTGGTAAACAGGAAATTCAGGATAAGCTCATAGGAAACACATTACAATGGATTATGGAACTAGGTTCAGAGAACATTAATATCTCATGCACAGTGTGTAAAGTAGGCACATTCACATGATGTCAACCACGTAAAAGATATTGAAATGTTGTTGCAAACCTGCAAAAGTTGACGCCTTATGAGAACCCATTTTGACTTGCGCTCAGATGACTGAGGAGGCAGGGAGCCCATCATGGAGAGAAGCTTTAATTGGAGAACAGGAAAATATATGGTCAAGATATTAGTATCATTATATCAATGACCCATAACCTTAAGCTACCAATAAGCCTACCTCTGCAACCTTCGGCCTTTGCTCTGCCTTAATTCCTGTCCACGACCAAATTGCATCCAGCAGGTCTCCGTGATTTAAATGAATGTTACAAGAGCCTCGATGATAGATGCGCTCCATGATGTCCACTATCACCTATAAAGTTGGTCCACAAAAACATTCAGCTAGTCTTTGATGCATGAGCTGAAAGCAGCAGCACTAGTTTGAATACGATGATTTATATGAGAAGGAACAAAAGCCAAGCTGGAGATATAAATAATTCTTCTTTTCATATTACTTTCTCCAAAGCATCTGCGATAACCTTCACAGAACTCTTTCCGAAAGTCAATGCTGTAACATGCCTCAGATATTCTCAATTAGGAAACAAGGAGGGGTCACCAACCCAAGATATTTTTCCCAAAACAAATTTGCTCTACTTTTGGTTCAAAGAGTAAAGGACAGGCAAATGACACAATCTACAATGTATGCGAGTGAATCTAAGTCTTGAAAAATTGTCACACCTTGAGAACTTCTGCCTCTGTCAAGGGTGCTGTACCTCCAACAATGTCAAAGTCTGCCTGTTCAAAAACAAGGCGGCACCCGTATAAAAAATTCAGCACATGCTAGTTCACATTGAGAAATCGCGGAAGGCCAAAACAGAGCCTGGTGGAACCAATCATCTTATATTTCATCGACCGAAAGGTAGAAAACAATAATTGATTACCTGAAGATAAGGATTTGGGGGAGAGTGACCTATTGCTCTCCTGTAGACAGGAGACACTTCATATCGCTTGAATGAAGATTCCTGCATTGGAAATTTTGAATATGCAACATATTATCTTCATTTTGACAACTTAAACAATTAGCAGACAGAACCGAGTTTTAAAAAGGATTAAAAAAACCAGTGAAGTAAGATCAATTTAAACTTTAATTTGATAAGTTAACCGTCTTTAAAGACTTCCAACAGAGCATAGGTTTTCACTAGTGAAATTCCGGACTCGAGACTTAGACATCAGGGATTTTATGGCTTAAATGTTTTCTTTCTCCTATCATATGACCTGTTGCATCAAGGTTAATTCTCACCATTAACAAACTATCAGCTATTTCAATACACAGCTGCGAATAGAAAGAACCGGCAAACTTTAAGATGTGCTTAATTTGAGAGTATCACTAAAAAGTTTTACCATGCGTTATTAGCTAGTTTACATTTTATACAAGTATTTGAAAGGCTAAACTCCATGACCTAAATTACTTGGAGGTACATGAGAATATCTCTTTGCCTATCTGGTTAAACTTGCTTGAATTGACATTAACCTAGAGATGGAAGGAAATAAAAGTGCACATCTATTTCGCAAAAGCCACAAAACCAGACCTGATTTACAATGATCCAATGCACAAAAGGCAGCCGTAACTCATAGCATAGTTCAAGCATATCTCCTCCACTGGTCAAAAGCTTCACAGTAGTCCTTTTTTGACAAGACCGGAATTAAATTAAGATATAGTTTTCATGACATAACTAACACAATATTAAGTTCCGTGTAAAGAAGTATACCTGCTAAACTGGGGGCAATCGCCAAGCAAACGCATTGGAATTACTTCTAGGTGCTTGGCACAGTGTTGCCTAAAGACTTCCTTTGCAATTTCAATAACATAATCACGAAGCTCAGTATCCATCTCTGTGTACTGAACAGAATAAGTATCATTTGTACAGATCAATCTATTGGACTGGTGACCTTTCATCTCTAATATTTCTTCATCAAAGATTGCATTGACTACTTTATCGTAGACACTTGACTCTTCAGACGTCTGCATCATTTTCAGAATACCTGTAATACAGAGAAGGCCTAGATGTCATGCCAAAATGAGAAAATAAAGGACATGTAAGCAACGGAGGACTCAGAGCGTACGTCACATATATGAGAAAAAGCCATTAACAACACTTACTTTAAAACCGTGGTCACTATGTACAAAAAACTTACACGCGATATAATTTATTAAAATATATGTAAAAGACCAAAACATATGTACAAGACTTGTATAAACAAATTGTAGGAACTCACTATCCAGTAACTCAGATTCCATCCTAGGTGGAAAGACATGCTGAAGAAGTTCAGTGGCTGAGGGACGATCGGACGGACTTAAAGACATCAAGCGCTTTAACAAAGATGCCTGTTCTGGAAATTCATTTACCCATTTAGCAGGAATTTCCCCTTTCAGTTTCAGATTAGATAATATAACATGCCTCTCCATAGCTGTTCCAAAAGGGTGCCAAAGCTCAAAGAACACAACTCCTAAGCTATACATGTCAGCCTGCAACTCACGAAGACATATTTGTAAGCATAGGATATGCAGAAATAAAATGTAATAGAAGAAAAACATATACACTTTTTAAACAGATTTTAACTGAGCCATCAACAGCTACCTTTTCATCAATCTTAGGCCATCCTTGCTCAATTTCTGGGGCTGTATAAAAGTAAGTACCAACTTCACCGGTCCTTTCGGCTTCATTTCCAACAGGATCGATAGAAAATCCACCATCTTGATCCAACTGTTCCAGCTTCAAGAACTTTGCTACAATGAGGTGAAAAATATCACTCAACTTGACATATCTATTTGAGTTTGAGATTGTCTTATACAGCTTGTGACAGAATGATATTGGACATCGATGGTGGTCCCCAACATGGGAAAACATAAATGGTCACCAGGTACTATATTTTATCCAATAAGATCTATCTCATTCTTACCCTCACTGAGTATACACAGGCAGCTGTGTGAGTTATACAGGCATCACGTTTTAAACCCTAAAACTGCTCAAACTAGATTAAATCACTGATGCAGAGTGAATTCCAAAATAAACCATCTTAACCAAATATACAGGATTTTGCAGCATGTCTTTGCATTTCTCCCCTTTTTAATAAGTAGGAAGATCCAAATGGCATCCAACAACGGTAGAAGACAGTGAGACCAAGAGACCTATTTAGTTTTCACACAACTTGCACAGCATGATCAACATGTATGAAAGAAATAGATCTGTGTGCACAATATAATCACCCTTCTAGCATTATAGAAACAAAAGTGATCCATCTTTGTATTGGACCTGCCTGCCTAACATAACATTATCAAAGGATTTAAGTGCAACACAAAACCATGCATTCACACTGATACATAATGCAAAGAGCATCAGGCAGGGAAGCATACCAAGACCGAAATCCCCAATTTTGATATCATTCCGGGCATCAAAGAAAATATTGTTTGGTGTTAAATCCCGATGAATAATCCCTTGTCCATGGATATGAGCTAGACCTTCCACAATTTGGCGAAATAAATGCCACGCAAAATCCTTGTCAAAGTGATTATATGATTCAAAAACCTGGCGGAGAGTCCTAGAGATAACAAAGAATAAAAATTAAAAATTAAAAAGGAGGAAAGAGAATGCGAGAAAATAATTCAATGAAAACAAGGCTTAACACTAACATTATCCATAACAAGGATACATGTATTGACCATCAACTTATTTCTCAACATGATTTGACATTTGAAATAATTCCTATCTTCATCTTCACTCACGATGGTTAATCATGAAGTTTGAGAAAGAACAATGGGCAAAAGAGAAAGTTTGAAAGAAAATGAATTACCAATTAGAAGAACAAGAACTTGTAAAAATTGGAAACTTCCTCAGATTCTTCTTTGGTATAAACAATTTCACTCAGTCATCGACTCATCGGAAACCATGGAATTACAGAAAACAAGGAGAATCCATGTCTCAATCTCACGAAATAAAGATGAGAAGGTAAATGAAACTTGTAGAATGGGTTCTTAAAACTTTACCTGGGACAATACTCCATTTGAATATATAGATAAGTAGACTCAAGCGCATTATCCTGTCCAGGAATTTCCGTTGACACTGCACCCGAGTAGCTGAACATGGAACTGCCAGCGGTTCTTGAACCCCAATTTGCACCAGAATAAGAACTTGCAGCTCCTGTTTCAAACCAGGCCTATTTTCATAGAAAAAAAAAGTACAATCATCGATAAGGTAGAAATATCGATGAGCAAGAAGCAGCATCATTGCAGCAGCAAATATTCTACAATGCAGATGTTACTAGGATGGACGGAATGGTGAATAAAGACTCAATGGCAGTGATGGCCTATAACATATAAATCTTAATTTAAAAAAAGGAATCTTCCAGCTAGCTAAATGTGGTTATATGAGCATGGTGAAAAAGAACACCAAACAAGCTAAGAACAAGTAGTCAATAGCCACTAAAAATTTCAGAAGCATGAAATAATGAAGAACATTACCTGATAGTAACGTACAACATGCTGATGCTGCAACCGGGAAAGTGTTGCTACTTCTCTGAGTACCTCACGATGAGCAGATACAGAAGTATTTTTAGGATATTATAAAAAACAAAGCTCTCAAACTAAGCGGTACTGTTTAATCTAAGGCCACGCAGAGCCTGGTGGTTCTGCTAGCCAACAATAAATGGTGTGCAAATAATTTTTCAGCATGAGAGATAAAGATACACTAGAATTCAAAAATATCTTTGCTCTAAGAAAATAAAAATGTTCCAAAATCTTTCCTGGATAGGACATCATAGCACTTTGCTTATATTAACAAAGAAAAACACCTCGAAAGTGGTGCTAAAACTTTGACTGAGTTCAATGTATATTTTGGCCCTCGGAATCTGAATATGCGCTCTAAAGAACATAAAACTTGTTATTTCTACATCACCTCAGTATCCGGTTATTGACGGGAATATCTTTGTCCTTCAGTCGAATTTTCTTCACTGCATATTGTCTTCCATCCAGTTTATTTTTGCACAATACAACATGACCAAAACCACCATGGCCTGCCAGCATAAGGTTTCCAGCAGAGAGTAAAAAGGAAAAATGTATCAAATTTCATTCAATCAGAAACCAGAACAAAATAGAACATTGACTGAAATGCGCATGTGCAGAGTCAATTTACTCCGAAGTCGAGAAATAGCAGAAGTATTCACGAATAACGTCAGATAAACATGTGAGGGAACATAATCTTGAAACGTGAACAAGTTTAAACCATGTTTATATGGCACATCGATGAAATAAACCGGACGGAGAAAAACTAATATCGAGTACGTACCAAGGGGTTTTAACTCTTCAAAATCATTGAGATATCGTGAGCTTGGGAGTGAAGTAATTGGCCCACCAAAATCCGAAGCTGGCTCCCAAAATAGAGGAACTCTACTGGAGGCCTAAACAGATAAACGTGAATTGGATGCTCTAACTCAGATCGTGAAAGAATGGAAGGGGCAAAGTGAACCAATACACACCATGTCTTGATGGAATATGTGTTCAAAAGTTTTATTGAATACTGGAGATGATTTTGAAGCTAAACCAAGCACTCCTTCCGACAGCATCTGGAAAGTATTAAGATAAAGCACAACCATCCGATAAGATTAGGGAGAAAAAATTTATCATTGGCAATAAGAAACCGGTGCACATGCTGAGAATTCAGATTATTCAAAAGGCATACACCGAGCTTGTGCAGTTCATCGGTTATTTGAGGCAATGCATCAGCCAAAGGCTCCTTGGATGAACAGGCAAGTCGAAGCAGATGGACCTGATTGAGCGGCACAAAGCATTTAAATCAGAGCAAGCAGTAGAAATCAATGCAGACAGAAAGAAGAAAAAAGACTACCATTAATAGATCCTTCTTGTTGATTTGAGGCGTTTGATCTCGGGTTAAGGACAAGGAAGACCAGGAGGACTCCGAAGACCCAGTTTCATAATTGCTGTGGTCACCTTCAGATGTGTCTTCATGTGAATTAGATTCCTGCTGAACTAGACACAGAAATACTGCTGAAATAGACAAAGAAATACAGCAAGAACTAACTCCAGATATCCAATCGAGTAAAAATGATTACAGGTGGATGTGTATTAGAAACAGAAGGGCGTAGATGTCTTCTATTATTGAGTACCAAAAGATAATCCACAGACTTGCCCATTAACCTACAACAAATTCTCGTAAAGAATGATTTTTCCATTGCATGAAATCTAAAGAATTATTGCTTTTAAGGTCTAGGAGCTCATTCCCTCTGCCTTATCCGTCACTAGTTATATCAAGGATAACATACCGTTTGAGGGCACTAAAGCTAACACAATAGCGATGTGAATAAGTTAAGGCAGTCTCATTCTCACCTTCTCTTTCTGGATATATCTAGATTCCATTTCTTCGAAAGAACTACTTGAATCAGAGGAAGTGCTGGATGCCTGAAGAGTATTTCGCATGGGGACAGGAGAAGGAAAAGCAACTTGTTTTTTCCCCTGGTCTTTAAATTGCCCCACATTTTTGTCCAGATCTTTTTCAGGTTTCTCATGCAAAATTTTCAAACCACTTGTCGAATGGGATTTCCCTGAAGAAACTATGCCCATGTTTTCATCTGTACCCAGACTCCAGTTCTGCAAATCTCCCAAGCCACTAAAGAGGTCTATGAAACCATATACAAAAGGTCCAGGAGAAGAGCATTTTGCTTTGCTTGAAACCATAACATCCTCAATGAGCTTAGTATTGCTATGTGTAGTCAAGGATGAAACCTTCATAAGAAAAATTGTCACTCAGAAACATCAAAGACCATGAGTTATGTAAAAGATGAAATATGTTACTTACTGGACAGTAGTAAACCGGACTCAGAACGAGCTTGGGTAGACTGAATAACTACAGGGAAGTAATACTTACGGATTCCTCAGCTTGAAAAGCTGGAACAATTTCAGACAAAAACTCTTGAGCAGCCTCCACCAAGTTGAAGATCATAACCCGCCCTTCTCGAGCATTCGAGTTTGCCTGGAGCATACATAAATTCAACAAAAACCTTGAGCCAATGAATGCACTAAATTATAAAACACTGCAACCTAAGAAGAGTAATTCAGTATGAAAGCACCACTGTTCTAAGACAAATCAGAATTCAACACCTAAAATTCAATTTTCAGGGTGTCTATAAATTATTTACATTACTGAATTGCTGCCTTTAACAACAAAAGAGAGGGAAAAAAAAGGTCTTGTCTGTATACCATTGAGTACTGGAGAAACATTCCTTACCTGGTCCAGAAGGAGAGATAGAAGTTTATCAGCATCAACTGTTGTCAGCCCTTTTTCTGGAGTAATCTGCAACTTTGGGCACTTGTAAGGATATCCTGGTAAGCATCTAGAAAAAAAACACATAATTAGAAGCAGGGAAATGAAAAATAAAAGATGGAGAATCCATGTCACACAGCTATAACAAAGATTCAGACAGAAATTTACTAACCTAACTACAAGCACTGCAGAGATATCAATATCCTCGAAACCCATATCCTTTGAGTAAGGCCTGCTCAAATTATAAGACGCTTGGTGAATAATTATACTCCTTGCATGAAAATCACCACAGCAGCAAAACTTAGAGGCAAGCATGTCGAAAAGAAGAAAACCTGAGTTTTATTACTACTTGAGGAGGTGAACGTGAACCTGAGACAATTTGGCAGTCCTCCTGAAATATAGCTGAGCTGAAACCACAAATGAAAATGATGCATTTTTTCCACCAAAAGCATTTATAATCCATACAACAACAACAACAACATGTCTTAATCCCAAGTTTATTTGGGATTTATAATCCAGATATTTCAGAAAAATAAAACTACCAAAATGGGTTTTTGGTCAACTTCTACAGAAGCTTTCTTTTACTCCCTTCTCAAGAAAGAAAAATAAATCTGCACTCCGCTCCCCTCTAATCCAGTTGTGAAGTAAATAATGCAATAAGTCTAAAAAAACTAGCTCATAGTCACAGTATAACGAAAGAAAAGTTTGGCTCCCATTGTTACATCCACTGGAATTGCTTCTTACCCACAATGAACGTCCTGAAAAAACAGCCAAAACTACAGTCTCTATCTAAATCATGTCATAAAACAAGGAAGAACTAGGCGGATCTTAAGATAAAAGCTACAAAATGTTAACATTTTCTACCTGAGGTTGTACAAAAACCCGAGGCAGAGAAATCATTGAAAAAGAAAGCTCATTCATCATATAGAGTATAGCCTACTTAAAAACAGAGAAAAATCAAAAGAAGAGATGTGCTAAGCACACCAGTTATTGGCAAGGAAATATACTACAGAATAAACATCGCCAATATAAGAAATTTTTGCGAAATCCAAAATCCCTGAGTTCACAGGATAGAACACAATTCCGTGGAGGAAGATGCAAGATGACCTCGGCTTATGTTGCTTATTCTCTCTATGACACAACAGATATCCACCATGGCACATTGACTACTCGATTCGACCCAAACCCTTCACCTCCTAAACCCTAATACTCACATTCCGGAAAATTCTCCATTCAAACAATCCAAGCGCCTAAATATTCGACTTACAGAGCAGTGATCTCCTCAGAGAGAAGCTCGTTCTCTTCATCAGCATTTGATCCATGGTCCTTCAGCTGACCCCTTCTTCCACTCCCTCCTCGCTTCTTCTTCTTCTTCGAAGTCCGACCCATTCCTCACCCGAAAACCCTCCGTTTTCCTTCTCTCTTCGAAAACCCCAGAAATAACCCCTCTCCACAAATCGTCTAATCAACACCAACGAAAGCCAACCCACCAAAAAATCTTTATCCCCGGATCTCCTATATCACCATTCACGAGAAACAATCAAGAGACGCCGTCGGTTCGAGACTTCAACCAAAGAGTACCATTGACGACGATTACTAAAAAAACACGGTATCTTCAGATCCAGGTATCGCCGGAAATTGACCGGAGAAACCTCTTACTGGATTCAGCTCGATGTTCTACGATATCGATCAAGCAAAATGACGCACTCCGTTGAACCCAATTTGATCGCTTATGCAATTTGTTCAAATTGCATCGCAATGCTGTTCTTAGATGGCGCCACCACTGGGTGTATTATACTAATTACATACACCCTCGCTTCGGATGAATATGGGCCTAAATGGGCCGCGTTCAATAGGCCGACAAATACTGAAACCCAATAATGGTCCAATAAGGGAGGGCCTTATCCAGTTTCCGGGGTAAATCCGTAATTGTATGAGCATGTGACGTGGCAATCCGTTGACGAGCCAACGGTACATGAGAGAGAGAGAGAGAGAGAGAGAGAGAGAGAGAGAGAGAGAATCAAACCCAAGCCTTATCTGACCAATCAAATTCGTCCCCGCCTCGTCCTCGTGATTTTCCTCACCCTTATCACACTCACTTCTCTTTAACTCTTTTAACTCTGTGTCTTCCTCTTCATTCTCTCTCTCATCAATGGCGGCCACAAATTCTCTCCACCAACGTCACGCTCACCACGACGGCGACCACCTCCGTCATCGTCGTCGCCACAGCTGTTCTTTCTCCAGACCCACTTCGCTTTCCTTCCGACAACCCACCACCCGTTCATCCTCTTCCTCCGCCGCATTCTCTGTCTCCTCCGCCGCCGCCGTATCCTCCACATCCTCCACCTCCTCCGCTTCCTCCACCGAGCCCGCCATCACTTTCGATGTCCTTGCAGAGCACCTCTCCGCCAATAACTTCCGGCAAGCCGACGAGGAGACACGGCGGGCGG